CATTTTTGATAGTTACAGTTACAAGCACAGAATGCAAATGAGCAGGAAGACCCTCCGACCAAGGCCAGTTTTGCAGGGAGAACCGTACAGTCCCTCAGCAGCTTCCTCCATGCATAGCGGGCAAGCGCAGTGCCCGGTGGAGCAGTCTCAGAAGGCATGTGTCATCTGCTGCACTGCATGCGGCATGCAAAGCTCCAATAGAGGCTCCAGACACAGACATCACAAGATCCCAGATAAAATGGAAGCCTTCCCTAAGGAAGTACGGCCAGTCTGCTGAAGACGGCACCATGCCGCTGGTGCAGTGCTGCTTTGGCGCAGGAGATGCAGCCACAGAAGCCGTTTGCGATTAACTCCTTCCAGCAAACTTAGTGGCGGGGTAGCAAAGCTTTGCTCATTTTCAGTCTGGCCATTTGACTCCCTAGCCTGGCACAAATTTAATATTCTCTGGTGACATCCTGCGTGATTTGTAGATTTTGTCATCTGCCTCCAGGAAGTGAGAACGGCGATTTCTTCGAGCCGGAGACCAAGTCCATGGGGATGCGAGTGCAGCTTGCCAGCCTTTGGTTAAAAGCATGAGGAGTTCATTGCTTTCGCCGTTGTGAGTTGTAGCACCTGCGTAATGCTTGTCGGCTTTCGCGTGTCCAAGTTGCATTGCAGAAAAGCTTTCGAAGGAACAGGGGAAGTATGAGTTTGTTGTTGGGTGGAGAGCATTTTTGTATGCGCACTTGGCGCGCGCATTTGTTTTGAACATGTTCATAAGTGAAGCAATCGGCAGGCAGTGCCAAAATTTGTTGATGGAAGGTTTGGCCATTGCGGCGAAGGTTTTTTGAGACATTAAAAAATCGAGTTCTACAGTAAGATTTCTGAGAACAAGTGCCGCCAGCATGCATAGGCTTTCACCTTGTGAGGTCATTCATTGTTTGCGGCGGCTCCCGTGAGCCCAGCTTTTCCAAATTTACGTTCCCGATTCTTGTGTACTCATATGGTGAGAGGCCAAGGTGTTGATTTCGTGCACAGCCCTGCGCCTCATGAAGACGCCTGAAGCACGGCCCTGCAGACGTAGCATTGGCCCTCATCACGATCAGGATAACGCAACAAACTTAGATGCGAATGAAGCTGCTGTCGGCGAGACTGGTACAATGGCCCTGACAGACCGACAACTTCGGAAAACATAATGCATTGACTGTTCATTGATAGACTTGTTTGACATGAGTAGCAAAGCCTCAGAGACATCAGCGCTGGAGTTATCAAATCTCAAGAGAAAGCGCAAGACATCCTGCTGGGGTTTGTCTGCAAAAAAGCACTCCATTCCACACATGCCTACCTGCGATAGGGTAAGCGTCACCTGATGTGATATGTGTTTCTTGCGGTTCGCATTGCATGGGATTAGCATACGGCCTACCAGGAAAGGCATGCCGAAGAAGTTCCCGCTTGAGCCCATCTGCACCAAGGCCATGCCAAAAATTGCCAAGCCCATCGCTTGTTGATGTCATTTTTTGCGCGGTCTGTCCTTGCTTTGGTCAGATGATGCTTGTAAGTGAAGATTGTTCATTCGAAGTACCTCCGTGGGGAAGACGCCTACTAATGCTACATATTCTCACGCAAGCCAGGCCGAGTCTCGCAAGATCCTATGGGAGGCCTGGCAGGTCGTGTGTAGTCACCAGCCTGCAAGCCTGGTGCGTTTGCCTGGTGTGGGAAGCCAAGTAGGGGGCAGAATATCTCAAGTTGAGGAGGTTGGGGTCAATGGGAAACCTGGAAGAGTGGGATTCCCAACATTAAGCACGATAGCTGGTAGTGATAGTCTCAAGTCTGCAACACACGTAGCCACACACACAATCTTTTCTGATGCAACGACAAACAGTCACTGCTCATTCCTTGAAAGGAGAGCGAGAAGGCATGCGGTGCTTTCCTCATCGGCGCTTGAGGAAGCTTGGGGCCAAATTTGCTGTGAGGTCGACGTTGTTGTTTAACAATTTGGGTGGAGCAAGCGCGTTGCACATAATCTGAGCACAGAGGTTTGTCGTGCTTCCCGGGGGGATTGGCTACTGCGCAGGCTTCTACATGGTGAAATCGGGTTTTTTATTGTCGGACATCCAGATGTAGATAATATTGTATGAGACAAGGCACCAATGTCTGCTGCCTCCATGGCTTTCGCATAGGAGTTATGGCGGTATGGCGTCCGTTCTGTTTACGAAGCCTCGGCTTGGGCAAGTAAAGCTGAATCCTGGTTTCCTTCTAGCAATCTCAGCCAAGCCTCAGGGTCTGGTGACTCTCTCGGGTGTTTGATGACCTGAACACTTGCAACTCTTCAGCCATCAAGCCGCGCGTTGATCCTGAGCTGGGTGTGTGTTCAACCCATAGTGTCGATGTCGTAATGTGTGTGTTAATAACGGGGTGTGATGCATCGCGCCTGGTGCATGATGCCTTGCGCAAATTTTGCGAGCGACGAGTACAACATCAGCTGTAAGATCACGCACGAAATAGCAACAATGTTTTTCAATTCGTACCCGTGCAGCCACACATGCAATCCCACCTGCTTACACCTGAAAGCCACTGACTCAAGGAAGCTCTTCGCTGGTTTTACTGAGCGCACTTGGCAAGGCACCCAACCGCCAAGTTTTAGATGCTTGTCCTCCCTGCCTTGGAAGTTTGGCAGCGGTAATCAGCAGTATCTAGTCTTAGGCGAGGCTAGGCACGCAGACTGTTCTAAGCATCGCTAAGTCCAAGCTAGGTTGTCAATTTGCTGGAGCTCAGCCTTGCATCCTTCTTTATGCTTGCACGATTTGCAGAGCTCATTCAGTATGTTCGTTTGCTACATGCGCTGCCAGAGAGGCACGAAGGAAATGCATCATGAGCGGAAGCGTATCTCAGCCTTAGATCGAGAGCTAGAGCCTGAGCCGCTGAACCGGCCATCAGGAGCTTCATGCATGCCGGGAGGGCGGGCCCCATGATCTGTTCTGCAGGGTGTTTGCGCACATGTCTGTCAACATGTGTGCGCATCCATGGATTTTTCAGCACGAGACGGCGGTTGAAGTCAGGGTGAGGGTCTTGTCCAACTTCTTAGGTCTGGCAATATTGCATCAGGACAGGATCCTGGCGGGATTTCAAATCGTGACAGTTGGCCATCGTATTTGGTGGCCGTCCGTGGTCCGACCTACAGCTCTTCAGTTAAACGTAAGTTACAATCGCTTGTCGCAAGGGAGATCCTGCTGGGAAGGATAGCCGTTTCTTCAGGGCTCTTCGCCTCACTGCCGTCCCGGCTGAAGCCGAGGGGAGGGGAGCTGTCTCCCAAAGTGTCCAAGTACTCATTGCGTTGGTTTTCTGGTGCGGCTTGAAAAGCTACCTGAAGAGCCTTTTCGATGTAGGCAAACGAGGCCATGTTCAGGAGTACGCCATGCTCTGAGTTGATTGTGCCTGCAGTTGCTTTCTGCACACTGGGGTACACGGACCTTTGTGAATCCTTGTGCTTTCTGCACTGTTGCGCTGAGAGCTGAGAATGGCTAGCAGGCGCTGCATCATGCGGCAATGGAAGAGACCCAAGCTTGATTGCAGTTACCTACCCCCCAGGAGATATAGAGCCTTCAAAACTTCCTGTTTGCGGAAGCAGAACTAGCCCTTGCTCAACATCTCTGTGCGAGACTTGATCAAAATGCTGCCTGGGGCAGCTGCAGAACCTTGCGAACGCCAAGAGTTTCTGCAGAGCTTCCTCACGAATTGTAGTCGAGAAGATTGCCTGCTAAACTGCTAAGTGTTTGTTCGCACGAACACGTTCCTCGTTGGAAGCTCGAAATGCTCCAGCATCCGCCTTGCTGCGCCTGCTGCAAATACAGCACGGCGATTCAAGCAGCAAAAGAACCTGAGCCTTCTCATTTTCGGCTGTCCAGAGCCACAAGTAAGAAAGCCTGCAAGCGCAAGGTCGTGGGCATGTCTGCTCCTGTTTGTTTCTTGAGGTCTTGACATGTTTCCAGCTGAAGCCAACATGTATGTGGCAGCTGTGTATGTAGGCAACATGGCAACATGTAGTGGCAGTTGCCGTATGCTATCGCGCAGACCCTTGTGTCTAGTAAGGGTCCCTCTGGCGGTTTTGACTCCAAGCCTTTGGGGGTGACGGCGCTCATGTAAGGACGGCAAGAGATGCACAGATGATGTAGTCCTTCAGTGGAACAACATGCCGCAGCTCGGAGGCCATATCATGGCAGTTGGAAGTCTCAGCTCTGGGGAGTTCTCTGAAGGGTGACCTGCTTCAAGCGCACGTCCTAAATCACGCCCACGTAAAAAGGTTGTAGCTGAACTACAAAGGGTTCTGCTACGGCACGGTCGTTTGGAAATACAATGACTTCTGGGGCAGAGTTCTCGTCATAGATGTGCCTCGGTGGAATGCTTCTGGAGTTGCAGTGGGTTGCGGGTGGAGCTGCAACGTGCAGGTAATGACTTCTAGGCTGTTCTACTTGAGAAATGCACAGGATTCGCACAGACTTGTTCGATCTAAGGACGGGCTGGAAGCAGGCTGGCTTTTGGAAAGCCAATTATCTTTCCAAAGAGGTAGGCCTAGGAATGACTCCAGAATCACAACGGCTGCAGTCAATCAGATGTAGTAAGAGAATCATTGTCGTCAGCACCCGGTTGACGTCAATATTGGGCAGAGGGGCCGAGGTTTAGGATGAGACTGCGTGATGTGGTCGCTGGGCCCTGGCATCGTCCTGACAATTCATGTTCAAGCCTTTTTTGTGTAGAGTCTGCAGAGCGAATTTACTGTCCTTTTTTAAAGCGACCTGTGAGGGATGTACGGGGCGAGTCTGAAATAGCCGAGCTTCCTGGATGAATCTGTTTGAAACGACATGCGGAATGAACTGCCAGTGCCCATCGGATCTTCCGGACTCCGTCAAAGACAAGGCCGCGGTTGCTGCTACTTCTATGCGGCATGACTTGAGATTGTCCCTGAAAGAAGTCTCACTTGGCAGGTGATCAAGGCCAACCCGTGGGGCACGCACCTTCTTGTCATGGAGGCATGGCGGGGAGGGCAGGGCGGGCGGTCCGCTTGGTGGTTGGGGGTTTGGTTTACGAGTCAAGGAGGCTCATGGGGGGCGCCTGCAACTCTCAATTTACGATCTATAAAGACTGGAGAAGACTCCTGTGGCAGAAGCGCTTGACAACAGGATGGCAAGGCGTACCGAACGCCAGGCTGCGGTACCAAAGGAGAGCCAGGCCCGATGTTTGAGCATCCTTCGGGGTTGGCACGGTTAAGGTTGGGATCCGGCGTGCGGCACTTTACCCAACTCCCCTGCTTGACTTGTACGTTGGCGTGTCTTCCCATTGAACCCAACTGAAGCAGTAAGACCTAGCCCAATGTCACTGGCTAGCCTGTTGAAAATCAGACAGGCGGCCTGCAGATGATCTGGGAATTCGAGACACTTGATCTGCAAGAGGGCAGCTGCTGGGAATTTTCTGGCAACAGGGAGGAAAGCTTCGAGCTCTTTTGGGCTAGATTTCTGGGAAGAGCTTGGGTTTCAAGCGCTTGTGTGGGTGTGTGTGTGTGTGTGTGTGTCACCCTCTGTACCAAAGAGTTTGTAACCCATGCATGTTCTACCTATCATGATGATGTGATTTGAGATGCAAACAAACAATACCGCAGGGGGCATGGCGGTCTGTTCCTAGCCATGCCAACGAAGCTATGGAACATGACTGGAAGTGAGTCTGGACGCAGATTCCTGTACCTGCAAACAAAATGGTCGACATGGGTGCTTGAATGCGCAGCTTGTGACCTACTTTTGCGGTAGGTTTTACATGTCAGGCAGGCGCAGTTACATGCAGTCAGTGCGGTGCATGCAAGCATGTCCATTTTTGAAATGCAAGGCAAGAAGTAGATCCACTAGCGGTGTTGCTGCCACAGTTTGGTGTTGTTGGTTCGGGAAGCATACTGTTGAGCCAGCATTGCAACAACAAGAGCTTGAAGAAGGAGATTGTATCAGCTCTCCTCAGAGCAAAGATTTTCATACAATAAATGACAACCATGAATAAGAGAATGAGGAAAATTGCAGTGGCCACCCATTGGACCTCTTGGTCCGCCCAAGTGTGTATTCAGTGTGGCTTTC